ACGAGTGAGCAAGGTCTTTCTCCAACGCCCAAGGGACTTAGGTAGCCTGGCTCTTCCTAATTTTATTTTTTATTATTGGGCAACTAATATTCAAAAAATATCATTTTGGATTAATGCCCCTGAGACTGATTGGTGCATTTTGGAGGCTCAATCATGCTATTCATCTTCTCTTCCTGCATTGGTATACTCATATCTTCCGATAAAACTGTCCAGCCACTCTTCTAACCCGATTGTCCTTGCTACTCTTAGAACTTGGATTCAATTTTGTCTTCACTTCAAATTTCTAACAGCTTCTGCTCTGGGTCCGATTAGTAATAATCATCTATTCCCACCATCTGTAGTGGACAAAACCTTCTCACAGTGGGGGAAAAAGTGGACTGAAGTGTTTCAGGGATCTTTTTGACGATGACCACTTCTCTAGCTTCGACTCTCTTTGTAAGAGATGTGGCCTGGACCGTTCAAATTTCTTCAGATACTTTCAGGTCCGCCACTTTGTAGTGAAACACTTTCCATCATAGCCTGACCTCCCGTGCAAAACACTTTGGGAAAGCCTACTGGACACACATCCAACTCAGAAGGGACTGATCTCTAAAATTTACAACCAGATCATAACTACAATAGATACCTCTTCTATAATCAAAACCAAATGGGAAAGTGAGTTGAACATGAACCTGACAGAGAATTGGTGGGTGGATGCACTGAATAGGGTGAACACATCTACGTCTTGTGCCAGACTTGGTCTCATTCAGTTTAAAGTGGTCCATAGGATGCACTTTAGTAACAGCAAACTCGCTAAAATATTCCCAGGTCAGGACCCAGGATGTAACCGTTGTGATCATCCTCAAGCAGATTTACTACACATTTTGGGCGTGTCCTAAACTTGAACACTTCTGGTACTATGTTTTTGATATTTTAACTATAGTTTTAGGGATCAAGGTACAACCGTGCCCTCTTCTGGCAGTCTTTGGAATCCCAGCCAAATCCATCCTATATAGTACCAAAGAGGGGGACATTATTGCCTTCACCACTCTTCTGGCGCGTCACAGAATACTTCTTGCTTGGAAATCTCCAAGTCCACCATCTCAGTCTGCCTGGCTTAAGGATGTGATGTTTTTCTTAAGTCTTGAAAAATTAAATATGCACTTAGAGGCTAAAAGATGGCAACCTTTCATTTCATATTTTCAGAATCTATTAGTGTTGCCCACCAAATGAGATATGTCTGGTAATTTGTACTGATTTATCTGGTCCTCTGTCCTTCCCTTATCTGTCTTATCTATTTAACCTAACTACTGAACTATAGTTTTACAATACTGTACTACATAAACTTTACGTAAACAAATGTGAAGGCCTTGTCTGTTTGTGGGTGGGTGTTTTGATTTAAGTAACTCTTTGTTTTCTGTTTTTGTTTTGTTTTTTGCTTTTCTTTCTTGTTATTTTCTCCTTTACTACTGCAAACTGAGTATCACGTGCACAAAAAATGAAAATACTTGCTCTTTGATTTTTATGTCATATGGTGCATTCTCATCAATAAAGTGTATATATATATTTTAAAAAAAAGAAAAAAAGTGTTACTTACTGCTTTTTTCGTGTTGGAATACATGTTAAATATTTAACTGCAAAGTAGTAATGTGTGTTTGATACTTTCATTTTTTTGCATTAAATCATACTGGGATGTTTGCTGAAATTGATAGGATGGCCCTACCTAGAAAATTTTCCACCAGCCGCCACTGGTACTGAGTATGAATGGGGTGGCCTTGTGTATTAAGATAGCGACTCCTCTGCTATTGGAGGAAAATGATGAGTAGTAAACCTGGCCTACCCAGTCTGGCTTAAGTTTCATGTGCTCCTTATCCACTAGGTGGGTTTCTTGTAAGAAAGCTATTTGTATCTTGTCTTTTTTTAGAAGGCTTAGTATTTTCTTCCGCTTAATTGGATGATGGATCCCCTTTACATTAAATGTACAGAGTTTGATGCTATCTATCCCTGACATGTCCTACTTCTTTCTCTGTCGCAGAGAGACGCTGTCCTTTTAGAGACCTCCTGGAGGCGCTCTGGAAATGTGTTAACTGACCTTTGCTGACCTAGTTCAGATGGATATTCCTTTCCGGTGGTGTGGTACAGAACATAACATTTAAGAACACTGAATGGCAAAAACAAACTCAAAAACATAAACTGAAACTTGAACTTATTGAAAGGGAACATGTGAGACTTCCTGCTCACTACCGTTTTCCCCTCTTTTCCTGACATCCATACAAACTCTGGTAGGATAAAACAGAGCTCCCAGACTCCCTGTTATAAAGAAGCAGTTTTCAGGTATAGCAACTCTTATTATAGTTCCGCGTCCTTGAAGTTTCTTCCCAGTCTTATTGAAGCTTGATCAATCAGTGAGGTCACAGGATATGATATCTAATATAACTGGGTTTCTTTCCTAAAACATAGTAATATACATGAGCAGACCAGCTTGTTCCACTGAGTTTCAACAAAAGAAAAGAAAGGTGTCGCATACTTAAACTATTCAGGCGCAGGGTGGCTGCATTTGTTGTGTCTGTTAACTTTCTCTGTGGGTTACTTCAGCAGCATGACCACCGCGAGTATAAACTGTCCACTTAATTCCAGATTGCGTCGCATTTGTCCATTATATTTTGTCTTTCTTCCTCTCCTCCACATACCTCTGAGCCTCATCCGCGGATCTGAAGTGTCGGACTCCACCGTCATGTGTAACGCGCAGCACGGCTGGATACAGCATCTGGTAACGGATGCCGAGGACTCGGAGTGATGTCTTTGTCTCCAGGAATTCGCGTCTTTTTTTTTCCACCGCTGGTGAGAAGTCATCAAAGATGTGTGTGCGGTTCCCGGAGAAAGTGACCTCAGCCGCGCTGCGTGCCCCCTTCATGATCAGCTGTTTGTCGGTGAAGTCGTGGAGACGAATGTAGACGGTCCTCGGCCTCGTTGAGTGGTTCTGCAGGTGTGCGGGGCCGCGGTGACACCTGTCCAGCTTGATCCTGTCGTTTTTCACCGTGAGGTTCAGGATTTTTGGCAGCCAAGATGCGAAAAAGTCCCTTAAAATGTATTATTATTATTATTATTGTTGTGGATGTAGTCATAGTGATGTCACCCATTGGTTTGTGGACTGCCGTTTTGAAGCCTTGAGTTCGGAAATTTGGCCTTCACCATCTTGGTTTTTTGCAGCCACTGAATGTAAGTGACCATATTTGGACTGAGGAGAAGAGACACAGTAATCGGCTCTGTTAACGATCTGTCAATCACAAGCATCCCCTGCTTTATGGTCTGTTTGACTCTAAATGGACCATCATTTACTAAATGAACATCATGCTGTATTGAAGAAGACTTGAAACTAGAGATTGAGACCATAAACTCATGTTTACAATGTTTACTGAGGTAATAAATAAAAAAGTAATACATTTTCTCATAGACTTCTATACAACCAGAGGAGTCGCCCCCTGATGGCCAGTGAATGCAAGTTTTAAGACACTTGGCTTTACTCTTTAGAACCGGGGGTTGCTTCCCATGTGACTATTCTCATGTGCACTGTAAGACATTTCAAGTCAGTTAAACTTGCAAATGAAAGTTCACCTGCTGCCTTGAAAATGTGCGTCAACTTAACTTGAAGACTGCTTTTGATTCAACTCAGAAATTAAAGTTCATCAAGTTGATTTAACTGCAATGTTCTAGTTGTCTCAACATTACTGTTCAAGTTGTCAGAGTTGATTGAACTTTTCTTCACTTGTTTGAACTTGATACAGTGAGTTAAAACAAATAATTGTTTTACATTATCAGGTCAAGAAAACTTTCCTTACCTAGTGAAACCAACACGCATTTCTGCATTATTGTAGCTCACAGTTTCAAGTTAAAATAACTTAACCATGTGTATACAACTTTCCATTTCAAGTTAAGAGGATTTAAATTCCAAATTGGTTTCAACTTGCATATAAAAGTTAACTTGACTGATAACTGCAAGTTTGCTTTATCAAAAAATTAAATCACCCATAATTCTTACTTCTGATTTAAAAATATAGCATTTATTTGATGAAAAGATACACAAGCTTGAACATTGTGTTTAAGTACATCTCAAACATGCCGACACTTAAATAGCTGTGTTTAAAACAATGTTACCACATACAAGTGGAGGCAATCTGAGAGAAGGTGGGGTTGTGGACAGACAGACAGAAGGTGGGGTTGTGGATATTTTATGGACCTCTTTTAACTATCTCACATTTGTCACTATACAACTGTGAGATAATTAAAAGAGGTTCATAAAATCATCCACAAAAATGTTGCATACTAGTACCTTAAACAGGTTATAACATCATACAGTCATGTTCAACACATAATATTAACATATAACTTATGTTGACAACTAGAAGTGTTGAGGTAAGGTACTACGAGGCAAAATGTTAGATAATGAATATAGTTTCATAAAATCTCAATATGAACAAGAACATTGTAAACACTGAAAAAGGGGATGACTTAATCGCATACTTTGAGAAAGGGGGAATGAGAGAAGACATGCAGAGGTAAAATGTGGGACACTGGGAACTTTATAAAACACAATTCTTAAGTTTTGTTTTGTGTTTTCGTTATAAAAGTCAGTGCATCGCGAAAGTTTTTTTTATGTTTAAACAACCAACCTACAGTTCAGAACAGTCTGTAAGGTTTTTCACTTTTACATTTTTCAACAAAACTTGACTTGCTTTGTCTATACCCAATATGCAACTCCTGTTAAACCATGAACAGTGTTTGTATGAACAACAAAGTTAGAGTCCAGAATAACAGCCTCCTCCAAGCAGGGACTTCAGATGTGACTTCAGATTTGTTTACTTGCGATATCTGAGCAGTTTGTTTCTGAGCCCATGGACTCTTGCTGAGCATTGGTCCGGTTTAATGTTCATAATGACCCTCTGAAGGAACTCACAGGTGAACTTCATATTCCGGGGGTACTCCAGGTTAAGGCAGTAGATTGTTCCCATTAACATGGCAAAGCCTGTGGGGATGTCTCCGAGCTTATGTAGGATGATCTTCTCCTCTGCTACCACAGCCACATTGAAGACTTCCAAAGGAAATGCATCTTGCAGAGTGCCTTCGTGTCCAATCAACAGTCCAACCTGCATTCCTTTCATGATCACATCAAGGTTTTCTCCATGAGCCTGAAGATGTATAAAGACATTCAAATCTTAACCGACATCTCCAAATTTAAAACATAACTGCCACTCTATTTAATTAATAGACTATAATTTATTTATTTTTTCCAATAATTTGAAGACTTATAATATCACCAGCTCTGCTGCAGTAAAGCTACCATTACCAGCTCAACCAATAGTAATACAGACAGGGAGAGCGCTGAAGGGTATGGTAATAACTCTAATGAACATGAAAAATGTTACCATTGTCACATTACAAAAATTGAGTGTAGTAAAGGTGTAAATACAGTTTCTTACGTCACACATCCGGATTATGTCGGTGGAATCCTCTGAAAGATAGCATGGAAGACCAAGCAGGGCGGCTGTTCTTCTGTTTTGGTTTGTGTCCTACAAGAACAGGCAAGAGTAGATGAATGTGATACCAAAGCTATAATCCTAATTTTAATACACAATAACAAGAAACTTTTTTTCAACACAGTACATACCTCCTTTTGCAGACACTGCAGCACACCGCTCAGACGCACTCTCCTGCTCGATGAAACACCTGCTTTGTACAGCTCTAGAAGACTTGGCACCAAGGCATCTAGTCCATCCAGGAATGACTCCAGCAGGTCTTTAGTGACAATCCTACTGAACTATTCACAATTGTATGACCTTCTTTCAGATGTTCTTTAAAATGTCTTTTAAGTTCAGCTTGGGTTTGAAATGTCTTCAAACATTCATCATAAATACAGACAAGGCCTAAACACCTACGATGATGTCCATGATGCTGTTTATAATGCTGGATTATTTGTCCTTGTCCATTGGAGGAGAATGCACAAAATTTACATTTCCACGTCATGAACTGGACATTCTTGATGATATCTGGAAACAGAAAAAATTAAATGAATTGCATGTTTAGTGAAAAAAGCAAATATATGTATTCAACACAAATATAACATTTATTTCCTTTATGATTAAATTATCAATCTTTACAATTTCAAAATACTTAAAACAAAAACAGGGATCAAGTGATTTTGAAGCAAACATCCTCTAGATTAGAAAAAAAGGATAAACCGATTTATACATCTAATTTTCAAATACACTTATTCAGTTTATTCAGTTTATTGAGTTAGCTAAATTGTGTGCAGTATAATGATAGCCCTGCAAGAGATTCAAACTTGATGATGGTTAAAATATTCAGTTTTAGCTTTGTTTTGTTATAAGTGAGACAATAGATTGTGATGTTGAAATGTATTACATTTACTTGTAGAGAGTACGAGAACCGCCTCTCAATATAATCCAATTCAACAGCGCAAGTCTCAGGAATGAGTAAAGTAAGTCTCTGAAACCCTCCAACCTGTCAAAGATTACTAGAATAATACATATATAATTTATTGTATAATTGTTAGTATCAACTTGTTTGTAGAATATTTAGTGCCAGGCCCTAACTTGCATAATATATCTCATTAAGTATGTCAAGTCTAAACATTACAAAAACAAACTACATACAGTTGTACTATTCAACAGTTAACATTAAACTGGCTAACAGCACTATGGCCTCACTGATCCTGTCTGCTGATGTGGAGACACACACTGCTGGTAATAGGAGGGGCTGGTTGTAACAAAATGTCAACTGTTTGGAGACCCTTCACTGAACAAGGCTCAACTATTTGCTTTTAACCTACAATTGACATTCGACGTAGTTAATTCAACCATTTGCCAGCTCCGTTTGTCTGTGTAAAACATACCAGTGATGAAGCGAGTTGACTGCAGAGGGAGCGGTCAAAGACACGTGTCTGAATAATTCATATCGTCTCTACTGGAGGATTTGTTGTCATTTTAAATTAATGTTTTTACTCTACGACAGGAGTAAACTATCACTAAAAGTCCGTCTCTTCATCTCTGTGCCGTTTCTACTTTGCTGTCCGCTGTGTGTAGAGTTCAGCCTACTCTCGTACAAACATGCACGCGCGCACACACACAGCAGGGAGAGAGGAGAGGGGGGGTCAAAATGTCCGCTATACAGTCTTTGCTCTGAATGCAGTTGCGTTCCTAATAAGCGGCATGCTCCGCATTAATATAAGTAACGTTACTGGCATTAAAATATAAAGAGGAGCAAAGCATAGGCAGTGACTCAGCCATTCAATGTGAATCCAGCTGGCATGAGCTACTTTAAGCAAACTTGCTGACTAATGTTAGCTAGCTAGCTCGTTTTCACTTGGGTGGAGGTGTTAAGCGAAAAACTTCAGTGGCACATATAATAATGAATAAAAAATAATATTGCGGTCACATTAAGAATTAACCAATAGTTTATACTTCTACATTAAATACGTTTTATTAAAAGCACAACAGATGAAATAGGTCCACCATTTGTCTTTTAAAAAGTTCGCGGGCAAAACAGACCGGGGAAACTGTTAAGCTAGCTAAACATCAAGGCCACACATTTAGCCTTTAAAAAACCCGACCTACATAACTGTGTTACATTACTAACGTTACACATGATATTAATTAAGAAAAATACTCAAAGTCATAATTTAAACTCACCTCTGTGTGCTGAAGCCCAGCGAAAAAAATCCTCACTGCGCTCTGTTCTGTCCGCTCTTCTTGTTGCAGGCAGAAAGTAACGTTATGTTCCTCCGCCTCAATTCATTGGCAGTTGTCAGGTACATAGTCTCCCTCCGCAGGTGGCAATAGTCCTTCTTGTTTACCATAAAATGCCTATATTTTCATTGGAATTTCACTATATGAATTGTCTGCAGTGTTTAACCAGTAGATTATGTCTAAACTTCAACCTGGCCATGGTTTAAAAAAGACAGTTTCCTTAAAACTCAAACATTGCAGCAAATAT